CTACAAAAATTCCTTTATTCTCATAAACTATTTATTTTAAATGTAATTTATTATAAATCCAATTTGTTTCCTAAATTCCACATATGTACTACATTTTACCTCTGTACGCGCCACTGTTGTTTACTTGTTTTTTGAAAGCGCTCTCTAATTGACTGCAAAGCTCGCCAGGTTAGTATTTGACGTGTAATCGACCAGTTCGTACACTCGATGCACCTGGGCGACTACAGCTACTACCAGAACACAGTGCGTATGCAGCGGTTTTTCAGATTTTCCATTGAATTTCATTTTAAATTTGAAATGATTTATCTTACGCCTCCTAAAAATGATGACATGATTTTTCTTTGATAAAAGGCCGACAATTTTTTGCTCTACTTTGCATCGTATACGATCCTACTATAGACTCCATCTGACACTGAAGCCTCGTCGCGCCACTGTGTTTGTACCCTAATATAGGTAATGTCACACCATCGAGGTCATTCTATCAACTTTTTTAAGGATACAGTATATCAACATTTATACTTAATTTATTGATATAATAAATAAGTGTGTAAGATGAAAAAGGGTCGTAAAAACACCACCGAGTTCAAAACAACTATTTTAGTTAAAGAAAAGGATATACAGGTTCGGAAAGTACCGATGGTCCATCTGCCGTAACGTGAGAGCGATAAAGAAAGTCATAGAAATCCGTACGATAGAGAAAGATGGCTATAATGAAGGCGTCTAATAGTCACCCATCGCCCATTTCGCCCTTCCACAAATAAGAAGTGGATCTTATTTGTGGAAGGGCGAAACGGGCGGTGACTATAGCCATCCTTCTCTATCGCATGGATTTCTATGTCTTACTTTATCGCTCTCACGTAACGGCAGATGGACTATCGGTACTTTCCGAACTTATACAGCTGAAGGTAGGTCTATCTATTGATACAGTAACGGACTGAATGAATAATACTTTTAGGGTGATCTCATTTATAGTTTATAAAAGCCTAAATGCACAATCTTCAATATTATGCCAATACGTCGTCGGCCGGTCGTCAGGGCCAAGCAAAATGACTAATGTCTGATACAAGTGTATGTTTTTGACATTCCACTAATTACATTGAAGATAAAACAAAACTCTCGAAGCTAAAGTGCAAAATGTTCGTAATTGAGATTAGATACATTGAAATTTGCCATCCCATCATCAATCTTAAATTTATGTAATATAAGACTCGGTCAACAAAACGACTATCTAGTTGTCGATTTAACTTCTTTTGGGGAGTATCAAAATTGAAACTAGTCTGATGTCTTTCTTGAAATACAATTATTAAACATGACGGAAGAAATAAATGGTGACGCGGTTCAGAAACCCAGTAAGTCCTTTTTATTTTCTCAGCTTTGGGATTGTAGTCATTGATTTCACTTTTGAAATACAGGGTGTTAAAAAAAGAGTGTAAAATATTTAAGTACGTAATAGTATGAACCAAAATAAGCAGAAAAGTCCCACTAAACATGGGTCCGCATAGTAACGGTTGCGGAGATATGGAATGTTTTATGTTTTTTAGCCCCTTTTTTTATTTTGCAAAAACGTTGTGTATTTTCTTATAATAGTTGGTTGATGTTTAGTGAAATAAACAGTACGTATTTGACAGTTGTTCTCAGTGCACAAGTTTTCTTTCGCTATGGCTGGTTACTCTAACGCAGAATTAACAGACATGCATTTCATGTATGGTCGTGCTAATGGGAACGCCACCGAAGCGCGACGTCTTTATGTTGACGCTTATCCAAATCGCCAGATTCCTTCACAACGCATGTTTGGAAGAATTCACCAAAGATTGCGTGATACCGGTTCCTTGAGCAAACAGTGCCATTTATCCGGAAGACCAAGGTCGGTATCCACTCCTAGAGCAGAAGAAGAAATTCTAGCACTGGTAGAGCAGAATCCAGGTACGAGTGTGCGGAGAATATCAGCCGAGGTAGGAATTAGTGGTCCTCTTGTTTGGAGAATCCTTCACGAGCAACTGCTTTATCCATACCATGTGCAACGAGTACAGGCCTTAAATCCAATAAATGATCATCAAGCACGTTTGGTTTTTTGCCGCTGGTTTCTACGTCATGATGCTGAAGACCCTCGTTTTCTTGCAAACATTCTTTTTACTGATGAGGCCGGGTTCACAAGAAATGGAGTGTTTAATTTTCACAATACGCATATTTGGGCCGACGAAAATCCTCATGCTCTAATAGAATCTGGACATCAGGCACGTTTTTCATTAAACATTTGGATGGGTATTGTAGGTGACAGGTTTCTAGGTCCTGTTGTTTTACCAAACCGATTAACAGGCGCTGCTTACCTCAACTTTCTGCAGAACACACTGTATGAGTTTTTGGAAGACATTCCTTTGAATCAGAGGCAACAAATGTGGTTCCAGCATGATGGTGCTCCAGCTCATTTTTCCATGGCCGTTAGAGAGCATTTACACCAAACTTTTCCACATAGATGGGTAGGAAGGGCCGGACCTGTTTTATGGCCTCCAAGATCGCCTGATCTGAACCCTCTAGATTTCTTTGTTTGGGGATATTTGAAGACATTAGTGTATGGTACTCCTGTAAATAGCCTGGAAGAGCTGCAGCTACGGATTAATCAAAAGTGTCAAGAAATCCAAACCAAGGAGGGTGTTTTCGAAAGAGTTCGAATATCGTTGAGACGAAGATGTCGTGCCTGCTTGGAAATGGACGGAGGGCACTTTGAACATCTTCTGTAACTTTGTTTTTTGTTTGTTAAAAGCTTCCTTTGTCGGTTTATTCCTAATAAAATAAAATGTTTGAAAAACGAATAGTGGTCCATATCTCCGCAACCGTTACTTTGCGGACCCATGTTTATTACGACTTTTCTGCTTATTTTGGTTCATACTATTACCTCCTGAAATATTTTACACTCTTTTTTTAACACCCTGTAGAATGGAAACTTACTTCTTTCTTTTCTAGTAAAAAAATTGAAGACTAGATTTTAAAGGATAATATTTCTTCTATTTTTCGAATGTAAATGATTGGATAACTAGTTATTCCTTTTTTTAAGATAGATGTTTTGGAATTCGACATGTACAATGCGCCTTTCTTTCCGTCATAATAATAGCCGTATCTGGAATGCGTAACAGTCTAAGTGTCGCAGTTATAGCTATGGTCAGCACGAATCCTCCAAACAAAAACATCCCTGTAAGTACCGAAGCAAAAAAAATTATGAATGTAGGAAATAGTTTTTACGCGTATTCTGTATTAATATGCTGTCATTGTTAGCAGATAAATAGATACAGATATTATGTTTCACAAATAAATGATGATTTCAGACTTATCCGGAATGGGCAGATGAGAAGAACGTGATCTTATCCTCGTTTTTTTGGGGTTATATCGTATTCCAATCCGTGGCTGGAATGATTGCTAAAAAATACGGAGCCAAGTATTTGCTTGGTATCGGTATGTTTGTAAACTCCGTATTCTGTTTAATTATGCCATACTTTGGATCGCAGTTCGGCTACCAAGGCGTAATAGTCTGTAGGGTGATACAGGGTCTGACTCAAGGTCCTCTTCTACCTTGCTGTCACAATTTGCTGAGCAAGTGGTTACCGCTTCAAGAGAGGGGGAAAATGGGAAATTTTGTTTACGCATGTAAGGGTTTTCCAATAGCAAATCATTGGATAATTCAACAATGTGATGCTTGTAGGTTTTCCTCTAGGTACCGTTATATCTTTGCCTTTAGCAGGGGTTATATCTTCGTCTGCGGCAGGATGGCCCACGGTTTTCTATCTATATGGAGGAATTAGCTTAGTATGGTCGATTCTTTGGTTGATATTCGGTTCAAACAGCCCTTCAACGGACAGGTTTATTTCCGAAGATGAGAAGATGTACATACAAACTGGAACAGCTACAGACGAAGAAAAGGTAGGTACTAATAGTCCAATCAAAATAGATTTTTACATGCCAAAATTTAGTTCAGTAAACAGACACGTAAAATTCCTTAGAAATGAATGAACTACTTTCCCCTAGCTGAATGTTAGGACTTCATTTTCAAAATGGCGTCCAAGGTTCGCAAAAAAACAGTTTTTTTCATTAAAAAAAACCTAAATATTTTAGAAAAAAATGTTTTAGACAAAAGTTGTTGAATTTTTTATAACAAAAATTTTGAGCCTTGCCTTATGTCAGTTGATAAACAAATTTATTAGATGTTACAAAAAAACCGGCTAAAAATCGCATTTTCTTAAAACTTCTATATCTTTAAAAAGAAAAAAGATTTTTTTACGAAACTTTCACAATATTTAGTCTTTGGCAAGTAGAATAAGAGAATTTTTGTAAAATTGCAAAATATTTCATAGTTTTTACAAAAATTTAGTTTCTAGAAAAAAAAAAGAAATTTTTTTCAAGTTTCAATAAATCATACTGTAATGCACTTACATGACCCATCATGGGCTTAAAATTTGCTCCAAGAGTTGTATTTTCCTGTGCAAATTGTGCGCGTTTTGCAAAATAATTGGAAATATGCTAAAAATCTACCGAAACATTAACTTCTTTTTTCGGTTTGAAAAATGTAGATCTTTTTCTTATCGCTGAAATTTTATCGGAATGGCATTATTGCCAATTGAAAGCTGACATTTTTTCACGAATTTAAAAAAATGTCCTGCTATCAAAACACAAGCCGAGAATTTTTTTTTTCAAAAAATCGCCAGACCTTATTTATGTTGTACTTGAATCCCTCTACTTAAATATAAAAAATAGTCCGCAATGATTGACCCCCTTTTCCCTTACAGTAAACGTAATTTTGTTGGGCTCCGTACAACATGTGTAAATTTCAGAACTGAGGTAACAATTTTTTGAAAACAAAAAGAAACATTCTGGGTTCTTATTGATCGTAGTACATTTTTTTTAAATTCGTGAAAAAATGTCAGTTTTCAAATGGAAATGATGCCATTCGGATTAAATTTCATAGTTAAGAAAAATATCTATATTTTTCGACCCAAAAAAAGAAGTCATTTTCGGTAGATTTTTCGCATATTTTCAATTATTTTGCAATACGCGCACAGGAAAAACTTTTAGAGAAAATTTTAAGCCCAAGATGGGCACGTAAGGTGTTTTTTTTTAGAAATATTTTTAATAAAACCTTTTTAATATGTTATATTTTATTCTGATTCCGATAGATAAAAATTTAATTTTCTTAATTTAAAATTCCAGAGCTAAATTTTTAGAATATGGAAATGTATTATCATACTTTTTAACATAGAATTTTATGTTTAAATTCTTTTGTCAACAAATATTTATACTAATTTATTACAATTGTTTTTTTTAAAGTAGTGTATTAATTTTCAAAATTAAAGTTTAAATAATAAAATATTTTATTAAAAATTTCCAATCTAATATTTTCTTAACTCCAGAAAATTTTTGTACTTTTTTCGAATTTTTAGAGATTTTTGCTCCCCCTTTGGCGACGCCCTTGTACTGTATAATTTATTGAAGCTCGAAAAAAATGTCCTGTTTTTCGAAAAATTAAATTTTTGCAAAAACTATCAAATATTTTGCAATTTTACAGAAATGCTTTTATTCTACTAATCAAGGACTACATATTCTGAAAGTTTCGTAAAAAATCTTATTCCGTTGTAAAGATATAGAAGTTTTTAAAAAATGTGATTTTTAGCCGTTTTTTTGCAATCACTAATACATTTGTCTATCCGTTGACATCGGGCTGGGCTCAACATTTTTGCTATAAAAAATTCAATAATATTTGTCTAAAACATTTTTTCTAAAATGTTAAATTTCTTTTAAACGAAAGAACACTGTTTTATGCGAACTTTGGGGACTGCCTAGCCGGGTGTCTTGGCCGCCGGATTTCGATCTGCCGAGGCAAGCATCACGGACGCAGGCTGGAATTTGGATGGGTGACCTAAGGCAGGCTCGGGGACGTGGCTGTGGCAGCCTACCACAGACCTGGGTCGCCCAACATTTGCCGCATGGGTGTGGTCCCCGATAAATGGTAATGAGAACAGAGCAAAGAAAATCTCTGTAACTCAAGATCATGCTATCATACATAAAATGTACGAGACTTTGCCACCAAGCCACCCGTGTAGTAAATAGGATGGTTTGAAGAAAAGTACTCGAGTAATGAAGGAGGGTGTACAAGGGGTCTAATAAGGCCTAAGTACACATACACACATACATACATACATACATACATACAGGCGAATTTTGGACGCCACTTTGAAAATCTGGGGTTAATAGAAGTTCATTCAATTCTACAGAAATTTTTCCTAATTTTTGTGTCTTTGTTTATTGAACCAAATTTTGGCAAAAAACGAGGTATTTTAGACAATTTCCCTGGCCTATAAGGAAGTTTATCCGCTCGAAAATAGTCATCATAAAAACTTTATACTTAGATTAAAATTGTTTTAGTCCATTGCTACGCCCTGGAAGGCCATTTTTACATCAGGGCCATATTATGCCATTATAATATGCCACTGTGGGACCAGCTTGGGTGATTATACCATGATGTCAGAAACTCCAAGTTACATGGAGAAAATTATGGATTTTGACCTTGCGTCCGTAAGTATACAACTATTTTACGCTTCATTAGAGAGCATATGTTATTATTGGTGTTCTATTTCTCTTTTTAGAACAGTTTTCTGTGTGCCCTTCCGTCTTTAGGCCAGTATGTAGTGGGTAACCTTTTGGGTCAAATAACCAGTCGGCTGATAGAAAAGGGCGTTCTAAGTGTGGGGGCTGCAAGAAAGCTAAGCAATTCTTTAGGTCAGTAAAAAATATATTGAAACTGTCTAGGTACCCTCAGTAGAACTAGTCTTTGTTTAAAGTATGATCTATCTCATTCCAGCAACCTTTGTACCAGCCTTGTTTCTGTTTCTGATGGTGTTCCTGGGGCCTGATCAATCGGCACTCACCCTAGTTTCTTTGATTGTTGGTGTTGGGATGCTGGGAGCGATTTATTCTGGATACTTGATAAATCACATGGACATATCTCCTGTACACGCTGGAACTCTGATGGGCATCGGGAATAGCCTGGGGAATATTTTTGGGTTCGTAGCCCCACTGTCCGTGGACGCAATATCAAGTATTAGCGGATACAACGAGGTAAATATCAACTCACATTTTTCGAAAACCGAGAAAATGTTGATATTTTAATTTAAAAAAGTTTCAAATGTTTTTTTTACTTTATATTCTATTAAGCTCTATGAGTTACTTCGTATTTCTGCGACTTTCGACACTTCAACGACTAAATATTTTTAGTCAATTGAAAAATTCATCGGGCTTTTTACTTTGAAACTGAAATCGCAAAAAAACTAGCAACGTAACGATCTTTTTTCGTAACAACGATTTATTTTTGTTGCAGACGCTAAAAGAACTGTGGAACATAGTATTTTCTGTATCAGGGATCGTGTTGGTAGCAACAGGAATATCGTATATTATCCTAGGATCGGGAGAAGAACAGCCTTGGAGCAGGGTTGAAGATAGAACGATATCAAAGGTTCGAAAAGGTGATCCACTCAGAAAGTTAAGTACTATCTCCTTTTTGTAGATCAACTCCAAGTAGTATTTTTAGTTTTAAAATTGTATTTGTAATTGGTATGCATTTGTAACTGTGATATTTTAACTAGTGATGTTTGTAAGTTTATTTAATAAAATACATCCAGTATACAGGGCGTTTAAAATTTATTTCAGACTGTAATCGCACATAATAATAATAATAATAATAATAATAATAATAATAATAATAATAATAATAATAATAATAATAATAATAATAATAATAATAATAATAATAATAATAATAATAATAATAATAATAATAATAATAATAATAATAATAATAATAATAATATCTCTACTCCTCATTCTAACTACGAGAATTAGCCCAGAAGTCGGAGACTTGTGCGGGAGAGGAGGGGGAATATTATTATTACGCAGGTCGCATTTGCGCCCAGGAACGACTTATGTTGGTAGGCCCTAACCACCATTCAGTGCATGAATGAGGGAAACCTGGAAAACCTCATTAATTAGGGGGGTGGTCAAATGCCAACCGGTGTCAATCTCTCACATTGACCCAAGACCCAAGCCAACATTCTTCCACCCTACCATACCTGCACAGAGGGTGCCAATCCTCCGTACAACCATAGCTAATCTACGGTCTACCGGCCGCGGGATTCGAAACCCGGGCAGATCGACACATCGATTTAAGTACTGACGCCTTAAACCGTGCGGCTATCGACCGATGTGTAATGATATATTTATTTTTTAAATATTCTCGACCTTGTCAATTCATTTCTATTACGAAAGTTAGGAATACTGACACTTACCAACGATTTAATTTTTTTACAATGACGCGACGTATCAAAAGCCTTCATCAAACACTTATAATGTAGATAATTGCAACAAGCTTCCTAATAATTAAAAATTAAGTGACACATGACTTGACTCGTAAACTTACGAGAACTTAATATACAGGGTGATTCACAAACGGTGACCAAAAATAAAAACCCGTATTCTTTGGTGAATTTTAAGGGGGGTCTTTCCTATAAAGTTTTTATCTAGGACGCTACATTAAAAAGATACAGAGTGTTAAACTTAAAAAAATATTTTTAATAATTTAAAAATTAGTAATTGAAATCATTTGAAGTTGAGTTTTCATTTTTGGTCACCGTTTGTGAATCACCCTGTAGTATATTGTATAAGTTTGTTCTAAAAATATTAAATAATTATAGTCTCAATAAAAATATGGAATTTTAATACAGAATTGTGACGTGTGTGAATTTACAGAGTAAACCAATAGACGTACGAATTATTATCACGTGGTGCACGGTTGTCACTGTCGTTGTCGGTGCACGTGTGGCATGGTCGTTATTTTCCGAAACTGTCAGGCAAGTCTGATTATTCCAGCTTTATTAAGTATCTGGCTATGTTTAAGTGGAATATTTCTTAGATTCATTTAAAGATACCAAAGTCACGTATGCCTTTGTAAAAATAATTCGACAACAATGCATAGCCCAGTTGCCAATTGTGCATGCTCTGAGACTAACACGCGTCGTTATTTGAGAATACAAAAAAAGGTTAAAGCGATTCTTTCACTGCGTAAGTTAAAAAAAAATATTGTTAAACTTACCTGGCTTTGAAGGCGATAGAATGCCCCTCAGTTGTATCATTTTGGTGTTCCATTTTTCAGTAAAATTAACGAATGGAAATGGTCAGGAATCATATCTAATCCTTTAAATATTTCCTGATCACCTCAAGATCAATTAATCTTGCATTACCAATTAAATACGATTTTGTTAACGAAATTTAATAGTAAAAAGCGATATTTTTTGCACTACTAATATTAATATATTCATAGTTATAGAAACATGACTATCTCAAACAAAACTGTAACAGAAATCATATGACTTCCTCACGAAGAGGATAAGCATTGTTGTTTATTATAGAACACTCGGTATGTTCTTTGAACCATTAGCAGCTTATAAAACCAATGACTCATAGTACTAGTAGTAGTAGTAGTACCTATTTACGTCACATTTGTCCGCAGATAACTTCAAATGTGATAACATTAATTAATATTTAAATATTGTGAAGTATGTTGTCATTATCTCTCTAAGTGGTACGTCATTATAAAAAAAATTTAATCATTAAATGTCACTGCTCCAAATTAAAAGCCACTACGTAAAGTCGGGAATATTTAAATGATCAGGAAGGTATGGCGTTGTGGGATCACAGCCTCAAATAAATTTAAAACGCCCTGTATACCGGATATATTTTATAAAATAAACATACATGTATCACAATAAGAAATATCACAGTTACAAACGTATACGAATTATAAATAAAATTTTAAAACTAAAAATGCTATTTGGAGTTGGTCTACAAAAAAAAAGATTGTACCTTTAGATTACAAGGAAGCCATAGCACTTATTTTCCTGAGTGGATCAGCTTTTCGGACCTCTGATATCTTCCTATCTTCAACCTTGCTCCAAGGCTGTTCTTCTCCCGATCCCAGGATAATATACGATATTCCTGTCGCTACCAACACGATCCCTGATACAGAAAATACTATGTTCCATAGTTCTTTTTGCGTCTACAACAAAAATAAATCGAAATCATCAATGTGGTTGTTATATTGTAGCTTTTTCATGCTACACCAGTTTCATATTACTACACTGTATTACATAATATCGAACATATCCTAGTTTATTAAAAATTGCAGATTGATCATTAGATTAGATCTGCATATTTGAAACTGTCATATGTGAAAGACTATTCGTGCCACTATTTCAGAAGCCTGCAATAATATTAGCTGAATCTTGCTTCAGCGTCGATCGTAAATGTTTCTTGTACCATAACGGATATTGTTTTAGTAGACGATGCCTGCACGTGTGGAATAATAAACGTAATCTACTGTAACATTGGAAACCTAATCCAATTAAATTAGTAACAGGTGTATGAAAAAGACTTTTTATTCTGTAGTACAGAAATGCCTTTTCCGTCTCAGTTAACCAAAGTCTATTTTTTTAAATAATAAAATTGGTTGATTTGTACCTCTTTATATCCGCTAAAACTTGAAATTAAATCCACAGACAGTGGGGCTACGAATCCAAAAACATTTCCGAGGCTATTCCCAAAGCCCATGAGAACCCCAGAGTGTGCAGGGGATATGTCCATGTGATTTATTAAGTATCCAGAGTAAGCTGCCCCCATCATCCCAACTCCAATAATCAGAGAAATTAGAGTGAGTTCTGGTTGGTCAGCCCCTATGAAAACCAGCGCGAACAGAAAGAGAGCTGGTACAATGGTTGCTGGAATGAGATAGATCACGCTTTAAACAAAGACCAGTTCCAATGAGGGTACCTATGCAGTTCCAATATATTTTTTACTAACCTAAAGAATTGCTCAGCTTTCTTCCAGCACCCACACTTAGAACGCCCTTTTCTATCAGTCTGCCGGTTATTTGACCCGAAAGGTTACCCACTATATATTGGCCTAAAGAAGGAAGGGCAGAGAAAGAACTGTTCTACAAGGAGAAACAGAATACTAATAATAACAGATGCTTTCTTATCAAACATGGAGTAGTTGTATGTACTTACTGATGCAAGGTCGAAATCCATAATTTTCTCCATGTAACTTGGAGTTTCTGACAACATGGTATAATCACCCATGCCGGTCCCACAGTGGGATATTATAATGGCGTAGTATGGTCCAGATGCAAAAATGGCTTTCCAAGGCGTTGGATATTCCTAAATAAGTTTTTTATTATTTTATTACGACTATTTTTGAGTGGAGCAACTTAGTACCTACCTTTTCTTCGTCTGTAGCTGTTCCAGCTTGTATGTACATCTTCTCATCTTCGGATATAAACCTGTCCGTTGAAGGGCTGCTTGAACCGAATATCAACCAAAGAATCGACCATACTAAGCTAATTCCTCCATATAGATAGAAAACCGTGGGCCATCCTGCCGCAGACGAAGATATAACCCCTGCTAAAGGCAAAGATATAACGGTACCTAGAGGAAAACCTACAAACATCACATTGTTGAATTATCCAATGATTTGCTATTGGAAAACCCTTACATGCGTAAACAAAATTTCCCATTTTCCCCTTCTCTTGAAGCGGTAACCACATGCTCAGCAAATTGTGACAGCAAGGTAGAAGAGGACCTTGAGTCAGACCCTGTATCACCCTACAGGCTATTACGCCTTGGTAGCCGAACTGCGATCCAAAGTATGGCAAAATTAAACAAAATACGGAGTTTACAAACATACCGATGCCAAGCAAATATTTGGTTCCGTATTTTTTGGCAACCATTCCACCCACGAATTGGAACACGATATAACCCCAAAAAAACGAGGATAAGATCACGTTCTTCTCATCTGCCCATTCCGGATAAGTCTGAAATCATCATTTATTTGTGAAACATAATATCTGTATCTACCTGCAAACAATGACAACACATCAATGCAAAATAAGCGTAAAGACAATCAAAAATTGACCTACGACCCATTGATAACGCCAACGAATACAACTAAGGCCATCTTAATGGCGATGAATGCACAAACTATGCTAAAAAGACATTTCATTAATGTTTTTTGCTTCGGTACTTACAGGGATGTTTTGGTTTGGAGGATTCTTGCTGACCATAGCTATAACGGCGACATTGAGACTGCTACGCATTCCAGCCAAGGCTATTATTATAACGGAAAGAAAGGCGCATTGTACATGTCGAATTCCAAAATATTTGTCTTAAAAAAAGAAATAGCTAGTTATCGAATCGTTTAGATTCGAAAAATAGAAGAAATATTGTCTTAAAACCTTATTTCCATATTTCTTAGTAAACAAAAGAAAAAACAGAAATAGTTTAGGCTTCCATTCTGTCTTAAAAGTAAAATCGATGAACTAACATGAACGTTAAGAAAATAAAAAAAAACTCACTGGGTTTTTGAACACCGTCACTAATTTTTTCTTGAGTCATGTTTACAAAAGGAAGTTAAATCGACAACTAAATTATCGTTTCGTTGGCTGAATCTCATATTACATAATTAAAAACAGATGGGGTGCCAAGTTTCAATGTATCTAATCTTAATTATCGGCTTTTTCCACTTTAGTTTTGAGATTTGTATCTTCGAAGCAATTAATGGAAAGTTAGAAAATGTACAATTGTTTGTTGTATCAATAAATTAAATAGAAGTGTGCCCCATTGAGAAGACTGTGCTTTCCTTGAAAAAAATTGAGAGGATGACCTCCTCGATCACCTGACAAAGGTTCAAAGCATAAATTTGTCACTAAGTGTGCAGGATGTAACTTTATCTGGGTGTCAGTTTTTTTGAAATAATATTACGCGTCCCCCTGAAAACAATATGAAATTATTTTTTTTAATTAAACCAGGTATTGTTAAAAGCTTTTAAAATTCTAAACAAAATAAAATATGTTCTTCTTCGTAGAAAAAACGGAATTTATGTCAAGGTTAGTTATTATTATGATCGCATTAAGCAGAAAAATGTCCTGACTCGAACGCTTACGAAGGGAAGAGGAGGCTAGCGTAAAATTATTACATTTTTGTTGTTTTTTTTTTCAATTTATCGGTTTACGAAAAAGGGTTTGTGAAATGTCTTTGGAGGTGTATAGCTGTATGATATTACGAAAAAGCATGTATGTAAACGAATCAAGAAAGAGTTTATATGGTTGTAGCTTATTTTTGTCAGGAGAAAACGATGTTGTTGCAAGAAGACCATATCAGATGGATTATCCGACCGAGAAGTAACGAATAAGAAAATGTTTGTAAGATTATCGGGGTTTTGAACGCCGATACGGGAATAAACTCTGAAACAATTCTGAGGGTTGCTTTCGCTGTACAGCAAAAATAAAACGCTCTCTCAACGGTACAAATAAACTATTTTTATTTAAAATTAAGCTTGTGGAAAAAGACGTGTTGTCGGCTCGAATGTTTGGATGTGTGTGCAGTCGGTCGCAGGTATATGAGTACGCATGTGGTCGCCGGCGCCAGCTCGCCGTAGACCCTTCCTGGAACGCTGGTGGGTCCGGCGGCGCTCTTGACGTAATGCTTAAAAATGAGTCACTTACGAACATGTGTACCCACAATTCTTTCACTGTATGTTTCAGAAATCTTACTAGACTTACCCGGCTTTGGAGGCGATGAGTTAGAAGGTTTTTCAGTTGTTTCATTTTGGTTTTTAATTTTTTATTGATGTCTTGATATCAATAATAATGTTGTATATTGCAGGGGCGTAAGATTAACAGTCTTCAATATACAGCGAGTATTAATATTGGGGAGTTTCATCACAATGTGACAACAGCGCTTAACCCAAATAATCATAAGTATTAAAAATAATTTAGGTACTTACCAAAGAACAAAATTCAGCAATTTTTAAACGCACAAGTACAAAACAAACTACAACATATGTTCAAAATGTCCAGCACCATTTTCGATGCACACACGACACCTTCGAATCCAATTTTCGCGCACTCGTTGGAAAACACCTCAAGAAAAGGAAATAGTGGTCCGCAAAAAAACACTCAGACACAGTCCAATTCCAGATACCAACTGAATAATTGATATTGATAATTTATTTTCGCGGAAATGGTTAAGTTTAGGACCCATGTCATATAAGGTTTTTTTGTTTATTTTAATGTATTCTATCGTCTGTTAAAGGCAGTCAAATTTCTAATACCCTGTATTTTGAATATGTCTTGATCTCTTCAAGTACCAATTAAATACGATTTTGTTAACAAAGTTTAATAACAAAAAGTGATATTTGGACTAATGCTACATATTACATTATTTATGTTTATACATACGACTTTCTTAGAAAGAGGAGAAGCATTGTTCTTTAAATCATTAGAGGCTTATAAAACAAATGATTTAAACTGAAGTCATAGTAAATGTCACGCCACATTTGTCCGCAGACAACTCCAAATGTGTCCCTATTAATTAATATTTAAATATTGTGAAGTATGTTGTAATTATCTCTATAAGTGTTCGATAAAAGCTTTTGGTACATCTTTATACAAAAATGATTCATTGTTAAGTGTAACTGTACCTAATTATTACAAGCTGCTACCTATTTGTCCTAATAGAAATAAATCGACAACGTTGAGAATATCTAAAAGATTACCAAATTGCAGCATGTGTGTGATTGCAGTCTCAAACAAATTAAAAACGCCCTGTATACTAAATGCATTTTATTAACAGTACACTAGTAATAAATATCACAGTTACAAATGAATACCAGCTACAAGTACAATTTTAATATTAAATATACTATTTGGTGTTGGCTTAAAAATAAAGAGATTCTACCTTTGGATCACAAAGAAGCGATAGCACTTATCTTTCTGAGTGGATCAGCTTTTCTGACCTCTGATATCTTCCTATCTTCAACCTTGCTCCAAGGTTGTTCTTCTCCCGACCCTAGGATGATATACGATATTCCTGTCGCTACCAACACAATTCCTGTTACAGAAAATACTATGTTCCACAGCTGTTTTTGAGTCTGCAACAACCATAAATCGAAATTATGAAAAATGTTTGTTGCGTTGCTTCGGATTTAAAGTACAAAAAAATTTCCAAAAATAAGTAGTGAAGTTACTAAACCAATTTATGTAATTAAAGTAATAGGTAACAGCTGTATGAAATTGGACTGTTTTGTTCTAGAAGTACAGAAATGCCTTTTCCGTCACAGTCAACTAAAGTCTATTTTTTTGAATAAAATTGATTTTTACCTCTTTGTATCCGCTAATATTTGATATTAAATCCACGGACAGTGGACCTACGAATCCAAAAACATTTCCGAGGGTATTTCCAAAGCCCATCAGAACCCCAGAGTGTACAGGGGATATGTCCATGTGATTAATTAAGTATCCAGAGTAAGATGCTCCCATCATCCCAACTCCAATAATCAGAGTAATTAGAGTGAGTTCTGGTTGGTCAGCCGCTATGAAAACCAGCGCGAACAGAAAGAGAGCTGGTACAAAGGTTGCTGGAATGATATAGATCGAGCTATAAACAAAGACCAGTTCAACTGAGGGTACCTAGACAGTTCCAATATATTTTATACTAACCCAAAGAATTGCTCAGCTTTCTTCCACCACCCACACTTAGAACGCCCTTTTCTATCAGTCTGCTGGTTATTTGACCCGAAAGGTTACCCACTACATATTGGCCTAAAGAAGGAAGGGCAGAGAAAGAACTGTTCTACAAGGAGAAACAGAATACCAATAATAACAGATGCTTTCTTATCAAACATGGAGTGGTTGTATGTACTTACTGATGCAAGGTCGAAATCCATAATTTTCTCCATGTAACTTGGAGTTTCCGACCTCATAGTGTAATCACCCATGCTGGTCCCACAGTGGCATATTATAATGGCATAAAATGGCCCTGATGTAAAAATGGCCTTCCAGGGAGTAGCAATGGACTAAAACAGTTTTTATGATGACTTTTTTAAGCGGAGGAACTTCCCTAGTACTTACTTTTTCTTCCTCTATAGGTGCCCCAGCTTGTATGTACTTCCTCTCATCTTCGGATATAAACCTGTCCGTTGAAGGGTTGCTTGAACCGAATATCAACCAAAGAATCGACCATACTAAGCAAATTCCTCCATACAGATAGAAAACCGTGGGCCATCCTGCCGCAGACGAAGATATAACCCCCGCTAAAGGCAAACATATAACGGTACCTAGAGGAAAACCTACGAGCATCGCATTGTTGAATTATCCAGTGATTTGCTAGTGTAGAACCTTTACATGCGTAAACAAAATTTCCAATTTTTCCCCTCTCTTGAAGCGGCAGCCACTTGCTCAGCAAATTGTGACAGCAAGGTAGAAGAGGACCTTGAGTCAGACCCTGTATCATTCTGCAGGCTATTATGCCTTGGTAGCCGAACTGCGATCCAAAGTATGGCAAAATTAAACAAAATACGGAGTTTATAAACATACCGATGCCAAGCAAATATTTGGTTCCGTATTTATTCGCAACCATACCAGCCACGAATTGGAACACGATATAACCCCAATAAAATGAGGATAAGATCATGTTCTTCTTGCTTGCCCATTCTGGATAAGTCTGAAATCATCATTTGTGAAATATATCTACTTGTGTACATCCTATTAATACAGAATAAACAGGAAAATAATGATAGTTGGCCTATAATTCATTGTTAATGTCAGTGAACACAGCTAAGGCCATCTAGTGGTGATTAATACAGTTTATTCGAAACAGGAATTAAAAGGAATTTCATAACAATTTTTGCTTGGGCACTTACGGGGATGTTTTTGTTTGGAGGATTTTCGCTGATCATAGCTATAACCACAACACTTAGGCTGGTACGCATTCCAGCCAAAGCTACTATTATAACGGAAAGAAAGGCACATTGTATATGACGAATTCCAAAACATTTGTCTTAAAAAAAAGCAACAAGTTATCAAATCGTTTAAAAAATAAAAAGAACTTACTGGGTTTTTGAACTTCACTCATTTTTTCTTCGGTCATGTGTATTAATTTCATTTAAATGATGATATCAAACTAGTTTCAATCTTGGTATTGTCCAAAACAAGTTAAATCGACAACTAAATCGTCATTTTGTTGACTGCATCTTATATAAATTTGAGAATGATGGGGTAGCAAATTTTAATATATCTAATCTTAATTACCGACATATTTTACTTTAGTTTTGAGATTTCTATCTCCGAATGGAATGTTAAAAAAGATATCGATTATTATTTCAATAAATTAAGTATACCCCATTGAGAAGACTGTCCTTTCCTTAAAAAAGTTGAGGGAATGGGGATGACCTCATCGATTACCTGAGTTTTGTCATAGAACACTAGTGGATAAGTAATGCATTCCAAAAATTAAGAATTTGATATCAATCACTTAAACGAAAATGTGTTGTCCTATAATCTTGTTCTGTATCTATTTAACTATTACGATTTTAATATGACAAAGTCTTGGCATTGATAATACTGCCAGATATTGATCAGTTTTCATTAAAGTAGCTCTTAATTATTCAATAATTCTAAGACATAAAAAGGTATGACTTAATTCGTTTTAACATCGGCGCGTCCAAAAAATACTTAGAATGAAAATTGAAACCTTTTTTCGTCTTACCACAATATTCGTATAGATGTCGATACATCAAAGTAAGTAGTAATAATTATATTACTATTTCATTCATAATATCCGGGAATTTTTATTACCTCAGGGACGAACTAATCGCCCTATGCAGACGCCCATATTGTTTAATATACAGGGTAGCCCATCAAAAACGTACCGCAAGGCATTACAGGGTAGTAAAGAACTTTTCGGCAAAATCCAAAAACAGGTAAAGTTTGTATCTGAGGGGGACAACTTTTGGCTCAAAAAGCATACCAAAATCTTCAACCCCCTAAGTGGGGGTGCTATCCCCTAAATTTTTTCAAATGGGAATGGGGGTCAAGTGGGGGGTCATTAGAAAGGGCTTTTAATTCTCTATACATCGATTCTTACTTTTTGAAAATCGATTCATTATTTTAGAAAATATGCAGCTTTGAAAATACGAACAATATTTTTGACGAGAAATGCGAAAATCGATTTAATTTTACTTCAAAACTTACGGTATTAGTCAAGTAAATGCTGAAAATGTTGTCCGCCAACTTGCATACAATGATACAGGTTGTCTTCAAACCGTTGTCGAACATTCTGGAGCACTTGCGGTGTTACTTCGCGACATACATTAATGATTCGTCCTCGCAGATCTTCCAAGGTATCAGGTGGAGTGCTGTAAACTTTGCTTTTAATGTGCCCCCAGAGAAAGAAATCTAAAGGATTTAAGTCGGGTGACCGAGGGGGCCACTCAATTGCACCTCTTCGTCCTATCCAGCGTCCTGGAAACGTCTCATTTAGGTAATTGCGCACATTGAGCGAGTAATGTGGAGGAGCTCCGTCTTGCTGGAAAATCAGTTCGTGTTCATTGTAAGCAGGGTCGTCCTCTATGATATTTGTTAGAGCTGGGTCGATGACATTTTGTAGTAAATCCAAGTACATATCGCCTGTCAAATTTCCAGGAAGGAAAAAAGGACCTACAATGGAATTTCCAAAAATACCTGCCCATACATTCAACTTCTGGGGGTGTTGGGAGTGTGTCTCATGGAAAATCCTTGGATTGGTATCAGCCCAGTAACGACAATTATGGCGATTCACTAAACCATTCAAGAAGAACGTACACTCGTCCGAAAAACACACATTAAAGAGGAAATTATCGTTTATCGCTCGTTCAGTCATTATTTCGCAAAATTGCAAACGACGATCAAAATCGTCTTCATTTAGCTCTTGCACTAGCCGAATCTTATAAGGATGGAATTTGTATTTTTTTAATATTCGTTGGACACTTGTACGACTCACTCCTGTCGCAGTAGCCAATTGCATTGTACTCAGCGTACTATCCATTGCCACTTGCCCCAATACCGCTATTTCCGTAGGTTCATTTAGTACCGGATTTTCAACCTGCCTCTTTTTGTTATGAACGGAGCCAGTTTCGCGAAATTTGGCCACCAATTCGCGAACAATTTTTCCAGACGCATGTTTCTCAGGATGCCGTTGGTTGAACAGTTCGGCGACCCGATTTCCGCATTCATTGTTTTTGAAAAAAAGCTCAATAATTTCTACTCTTTCTGGAATTGAGTACACCATAATTAATCAATTTAAAAGACTCGGCAGTATTGGTACTCTTCAACTACAAGTCACAAGACAGTTATCTAGCAACTTCTTGTGGCCTATCTAAATACGAAACAAAAAGCGGACAATTTTTTGCTCACCAAAATCAGGCTAAAGAATTCGCAAATCAGAAAAAAAACAGCGAATTCTTTTGAAGGAATTTACCAAGCTAATACCGTAAGTTTTGAAGTAAAATTAAATCGATTTTCGCATTTCTCGTCAAAAATATTGTTCGTATTTTCAAAGCTGCATATTTTCTAAAATAATGGATCGATTTTCAAAAAGTAAGAATCGATGTATAGAGAATTAAAAGTCTTTTCTAATGACCCCCCACTTGACCCCATTCCCATTTAAGAAAATTTGGGGGATGGCACCCCCACTTAGGGGGTTGAAGATTTTGCTATGCTTTTTGCGCCAAAAGTTGTCCCCCTCAGAAGCAAACTTTACCTGTTTTTGGATTTTGCCGAAAAGTACATTACTACCCTGTAATGCCTTGCGGTACGTTTTCGATGGGCTACCCTGTATATTTCATGTTCACTATACTAAAACATTTAAAAATAATTTTATAAATAAAAGGTGCACTACAAATAAAATGTACATTTTATAACTGACGTTAAGCAAATATATTGATAAATTCTGATTAATAATTTCCAGAAAAACTTTTAAATAATAGTTTCGAGCTTTTCACAAAACAAACCTATCCAGGATTGCCTTAAATTCTTCACAACCCCAATAATTAGCCAAGGAGGAGCCCCGTTGTTTTCCACTGGCTTGTCAAGCTCTTGAAACGAATATTTACATAGATGATATCAATTGTTTACAAAATGCTTTTAAATTAAAAACAGAATAAGTGGAAAAGTAATCACACTGCTCTCATAACAGATAACTTGTCTCAACCATTTGAAAATTCGCTTGATTCGCTTCTTGATTCACTTCTCCAGCGTTCCTCACGATTGGCGGGGTCGACCTTTTTACCTTTATCTCCTGACTCTTGGCATAAACAACCTCAGTTAAAAACTGTAATTATTTGGTGGATGCACCGATGTTAAAACGAATTGTGTAATAGCTTTACAATTATACTTGATTTGTTGATATAATAAAAAATTGTATGTTTTTTGGCATTTCATTAATTACTTCGAAGATAAAACTCTCAAAACTAAAGTGCAAAATTTTAGTAATTGAGATTAGATACATTGAAACTTGCTACCATATCGATCTTATATTTATATAATATAAGATTCAGTCAATAAAACAACAATTTAGTTGTCGATTTAACTTCTTGTGGAAAGTATCAAGAATGAAACCAGTTTGATATCTGCCTTAACACGAATGATTAAAAATGACCGCGGAAAAAATTAGTGATGCAGTTGAAAAACCTAGTAAGAGTTTTTATGTTCTTGATGGTCATCGATTTCAAGCAAAATAAATACCTAGTAAAATTTCAGTCCGTTTTTTCCACCTTAAAAATTTGAAAATAAGGTTTTAAAAGACATTCCATCTATTTTTCGAATCGTAAACGATCATTTCTTTTTTTTTAGATAGATGTTTTGGAATTCGATATGTACAATGCGCTTTTCTTTCCATTATAATAATAACCGTGTCTGGAATGCGCAGTAGTCTCAGTGTCGCAGTTATAGCTATGGTCAGCAAGAACCCTCCAAGCAGAAACATCCCTGTAAGTACCGAAGTAAAAAAATGTAATCAAATTTTTTCTATGAACACTTTTACTTAGACGGCTCTGAAACTAATTGCATTGACCGTTCAGAGATGGCCTTAGTTATATCTCGTTGATACTAGCAATAGATTGTATGACAACATTTGATTATGTTCCTGGTGTTTGCAGATAAATAAATACAAGTACTATGTTTCACAAATGATTTCAGACTTATCCGGAATGGGCAAGCCAGAAGAACGTGATCTTATCCTCATTTTACTGGGGTTACATCGTGTTCCAGTTCGTGACTGGAGTGGTTGCGAAAAAATACGGAGCTAAATATTTACTTGGTATCGGTATGTTCGTGAATTCTGTGTTCTGTTTAATTACTCCATATTTTGGATCGCAGTTCGGCTACCAAGGCGTAATAGCATGTAGCGTTATACAAGGACTGGCCCAAAGTCCTCTTCTACCTTCCTGTCACAATTTGCTAAGCAAGTGGACACCGCTCCAAGAGAGGGGAAAAATGGGAAGTTTTGTTTACACAGGTAAAAATTTTACGATAGAAAATCATCGGATAAAACTACATTGTGATGTGTGTAGGTTTTTCTCTAGGTACACTTATATCTATGCCTCTATCAGGGGTTATAGCTTTGTCTTCAGCAGGATGGCCCACGATTTTCTATCTACATGGAGGAATTAGCTTAGTATGGTCGATTCTTTGGTTGATATTAGGATCAAACAGTCCTTCAACGGACAGGTTTATATCCGAAGAGGAGAGGAAGTACATACAAGCTGGGGCACCTATAGAGGAAGAAAAGGTAGGTACTAAGGAAGTTTTTCCATCATCATAAAAACTATATACTTAGATTAAAATTGTTTTAGTCCATTGCTACGCCCTGGAAGGCCATTTTTACATCTGGGCCATACTACGCCATTATAATATCCCACTGTGGGACCGGCATGGGTGATTATACCATGTTGTCAGAAACTCCAAGTTACATGGAGAAAATTATGGATTTCGACCTTGCATCAGTAAGTACATACGACTGCTCCATATTTCATTAGAAAGCATCTGTTATTATTGGTATTCTATCTCTCTTTTTAGAACAGTTTACTTTCTGCCCTTCCCTGTTTGGTCCAGTATATAGTGGGTAACCTTTTGGGTCAAATAACTAGTCGACTGATAGAAAAGGGTGTTCTTAGTGTGGGGAGTGCAAGGAAGCTGAGCACTGCTTTAGGTCAGTAAAAAAGATATTGGAACCGTTTAGTCACCCTCTTTGTTTAACGTATAATCTATCTCATTCCAGCAACGTTTGTACCGGCCATGTTCCTGTTCGCGCTGGTGTTCGTGGGGGCTGATCAACCAGAAGTCACCTTAGTTTCTTTGATTGTTGGAGTTGGGATGATGGGAGCAGTTTGTTCTGGGTACTTAATAAATCACATGGACATATCACCTGTACACTCTGGAACTTTGATGGGATTTGGGAATAGTTTAGGAAATACTTTTGGGTTCATAGCCCCACTGTCCGTGGACGCAATGTCTAGTATTAGCGGATACAACGAGGTAAAAATCAACCAACTTTTTTTCGGAAAATGTTGAAATTTTTTGTTTACTTTTGTTGCAGACGCAAAAACAGCTATGGAACATAGTATTTTCTGTAACAGGGATTGTGCTAATAGCGACGGGAATATCGTATATTATCCTAGGATCAGGAGAAGAGCAATCTTGGAGCAAGGTTGAAGATAGGAAGATATCAGAGGCCCGAAAAGCCGATCCACTCAGGAAGATAAGTGCTATCGCTTCCTTGTAATCAAAATGTAGAATCTCTTTTTTGTATACCAACACCAAATACTGTGTTTGTAACTGTGATATTTATTACTAGTGACATTTGTAAGATTCTTTAATAAACTACATCTAGTATACAGGGCGTTTTAAACTTATTCCAGATAATATGTCGTAGCGTGTAATTAGGAACAGTGGCACTTTTCAGAGACAATTACAACATACTTCATAATATTTAATATTAATTAATAGCGACACATTTGAATTTTATGTAAAATAGCCATGTTTCTTTAAATATAAACAGTTTAATGATCAGCGGTCCAAATATCGCTTTTTATTATTAAATGTTAACGAATCGTATTTGATTGATAATGCAAAAATAATTGTACTTGAAGAGATCAAGAAATATTCAAAAGATTAGATATCATTCCTGACCATTTTCAATCGTTTTGTTTAAAATAAAATTGATTCACCTATTGTCTCAGCTATTGTCAGTTCCTTTATATTCAACTTAAAAGTATATTCGTGAGTTTTACTGTAAAATGGAGAACCAAATTGAAACAACTGAAGGACCTCCTAACTTACCGCCTCCAAAGCCAGGTAAGTCGAGTAAGATTTTTAAACTTACACAGTGAAAGTATTGTTTTCAGCATTTCTTGGATTACTTGCATTGACTTAGTGTGAAGCTTTTTTTCTTTATTTATTTTTTTTAGTTTAAACTTTCTCTTAGTACGATATTTGAAGAAAAACTGTCTCTGCGGATGTATTCATTACAATTTGTAATCTAGGACACAAAAGTTTTTTGTTGAATTAAATAATCAGTTTATGATAAATTATCGAGTATCAGTCTAAAAAATATAAATATTTTGTTGATAACGACCTGCGTTGTTGACGATAATGATAAACATTGTATCCATGTGCTTTGGGTATAACATATTTTTTTATGAAACCGTGCCAAGGTATTTCAAAAGGAAAACATTTAAAAAAATATGTTTTCACCAATGTAATTGTTATTACGAATAAAATATCAATATTTCGCAAGACTTACATCTTACTAAAATATTGTGATATTTCTTAAAGACTATTTTAAACTGAGTCAGTATGCCACAAAAGACCAGTTTGAAGATTTCTAGAAAAATTTGTTGATTCTTTAAAATAATAAAGACATTACTTCTGTTTCGTGACCTTTTGACACATGCATAAGTGTGTTCTTTCAAATTCCGTCTTGAAAACTGTTTTTTTTTATCTTGTTTGGTACTTACTTACTTAATAAAGAATTTAAGAGGAGTTTAAAAAACAAACTCGACTCTTTTGATTAAAAAAAATCAGATGCACTATTACCAAAAACTAGGTCAAGTAATTTAACTCTGTATTTTTTTTTCAGCTATATGGTTTGGGGTACGTCATGAACAATACATTCTTCTTCTTCTCGCAGTGGTAATAGCTTTCGGGATACGTACCGCTTTCAATGTAGCAATTATCGCTATGATCGCTGAAGATCCTCCCGAAGGCGTAAAAGTAAGCGAACTATTTCTGTTCTTCTGCTGCCACTATAGGCCAGTCAAATTATTAAAAATACCTCGTTTTCTTGTCAAAATTTATTTCAGTAAACAAGAACGAGTAAAAATTAGGAAAAATTTCGTAGAATTGAAAGAACTACTACTACTGTAAAAAAATAGCTCAAATTTCTCTCTGAGGACAACTGAGTGGAAATATTGCATCAGAAATGAGTGAGTTTTACTCAAATCCGAGTTACTGCTAACTATTGAGCGACTTTTGACTCCATTCTGAGTATATGAAACCAATTTAGAGTTGACTTTTTCTCTAATATGATTTAACTATTATTGAGTCATTTTTTGCTTACACTTGGTTTTTAATTAATTAAATATTGAGTGCAAAAACAAATCACTCATAAATGATTAATTAGGACATACAGTGTTGAAATTATGTAATTCACTTCGCGGGGCCTCCTCCTGTCCTGGCTGAGACCCGCCCCCGCCGGCTAAGGTCTCTTCCCCTGGCGATCATGCTTTTCTGTAGCATCTAACGGGCCCTTATCAACTGTGGTCGATATTACAGAAGCAATATGTAAATGACGCCATCTTCACGACGCCATTCAAATGACTAGAAATTAATATACATTTAAACTCACTCAGTAATGAGGACATTTACTCTGATTTAGGTACAAGAGCACCAAATACGAGTTTATGTGAATAATTTGTTTAAGGAGTACCTATATTTGAGTAAAAGTACTCATTTTTAATTTAGATATAATCACAAATGAGTAAAATGATCAAAATGCCCAATATTGAGCGAAAAAGTTCTCAATAATTTCACTCAATGGCTTTACTCCGATCCGAACCTTTATTGCTTTAATTTACACCGATTTTTTTACAGTGTAGCTAAATGTTAGGGCTTCATTTTCAAAATGGCGTCAAAAGTTAGCAAAAGTTTTTTTCATTAAAAAGGAAACTAAACATTTTAGAAAAAAAAACATTGAACATTGTAGAACATTATTTTTATAACAAACAAACAAATGTATTATTAGTTATTGCAAAGACGGCAAAAATGGCATTTTTTTAAACTTCCAAATCTTTAAAACGAAAAAATATTTTTTTTTTCGAAACTTTCAGAATATGCGGCAAGTAGAATAGGTGAATTTTTGTAAAATTGCAAAATATTTGAAAAAATTGAATTTTTCTATTAAAAAGACGTTTTTTTTAAGTTTCAATGGATCAATTATTGCGAACTATTTTTTATATTGAAGTAAAAGTATTCAACTACAACATGTGTAAATTTCAGACCATAATATTAATAAATGAGGTCGTACGATTTTTTGAAAAAAAACATTTTTTCCGGTTCCTGTTGGTCGTAGGACTTTTTTTTAAATTCATGAAAAAATGTCAGCTTTCAAATAAGATCTGAATTTTTCGACCCGAAAAAAGAAGTCAAAGTTTTGGTAGATTTTTCGCATATTTCCAACTATTTTCCAATGCGCTCACAATTTGCACAGGTAAGTACACTATATTTTGACCCCCCCTTTAACTTTTTTGTTTTAAGAGTTATAAAATATGTAAAAGACAAAACTCGATTTTTTATGAATTTTTCGAAAATGACATTTGAAAAACAAATGAAGTCCAAACAAAATGGCCACGGATGTTAATTTTGTTAATTTAAATGGAACACCCTGTATATTTTTTCATATTTGGATAGAACGTACCCTGGCGGGCATAGTCATGTAGGGTTTGTTGGGTCCATCTCTAACAATAAGCGAGATACTATTAAAAAAAGGAAAAGAAGTTTTTTATTAAGAAAATAAGATATCTTGTAATTGTTATACCTCTTTCAGGCACTTCTGCCTTTTTTCCAATTACGTAAGGATTTACGGATTTAGTTGTAATATATTTTGACATGTCGGCCATTGATATGGTCCAAAAATTCTAAGGCCGTGAGAGGCCTAATTACTCATGGACAATGTTATATGGTAGGCCGTGACATGATAGCATTGTTATTGATTGACAGTTTGTATTATTATTTAATATAAATTGGTTACACAGCAGTAGAAAATTGAAATATTATTAATATGGAGAAAATCTTTACTCTATTTGAATTCCTAATAATATTTATACTTCTTAAAATACCTATACGCATTTTGAACCATATCAATGTCCGATATGTCAAAATATATTACAACTAAATCTGTAAATCCTTACGTAATTGGAAAAAAGGCAGAAATGCCTGAAAGAGGTCTAACAATTACAAGATCTCTTATTTTCTTAATAAAAAAAACATCTTTTCTTTTTTAATAGTATCTCGCTTATTGTTAGAGATGGACCCAACAAACCCTATATGGCTATACTCTACAGGGAACGTTCTATCCAAATATGTAAAAATATACAGGGTGTTCCATTTAACTTAACAAAGTTAATAACACCCGCGGCCATTTTGTTTGGACTTCATTTGTTTTTCAAATGTCATTTTCGAAAAATTCATAAAAAATCGTGCAACTTTTGTATTTTACATTTTTTTATCTCTTAAAACAAAAAAGTTAAAGGGGGGGGTCAAAATATAGTGAATCGCCCTGTACAACTCTTACAGAAAATTTTAAACTCAATATGGGCCACGTAAGTGCATTACTGTATGATTTATTGAAACTTGAAGAAAATGTCTTTTTTTCGAAAAACTCAATTTCTGGAAAAACTTTTATGAAATTTTACGAAAATGCACTTATTCTACTTGCTAAGGACTACATATTCTGAAAGATTCGTAAAAAAATCTTTTTTCGTTTTAAAAATATAGAAGTTTTAAAAAAATACGATTTTTAACCGTTTTTTTGCAATAACTAATACATTTTTTTATCAATTGACATAGGACTGGACTCAAAATTTTTGTCATAAAAAGTTCTACAACTTTTGTCTAAAACATTTTTTTCTAAAATGTTTAGTATTTTTTTTAATGAAAAAAATTGTCTTTTTTACGAATTTTGGATGCTATTTTAGAAATGAGACCCTAACATTCATCTAGGGTAATAGTCCAAGCATTATAGAGAGATGCTTACAGAAATTATTACCTGGACAAAAAAAATATGACCGTATAGAAAATTAAAATTTAAATTGAATTTCTTGTTCTTTAAACTCGATCCAATATGGCGAACATGGTTAAAAAAAATCGCAAAGTTGAAAAAAACGGTTTTTCTAAAATAACTAAAAAAATATAGCGCGGATTGAAAAATTTTAAATGAGAAAGTTGTAGGTTTTAAAAAGATCTATCGACTGATTTTTTGAAAGTATCGATTGCTTTGTTACTTTTCGAGATATATCGAAAAAACCGTTAAAAATCTTCTCTTTTCTCTTCTTCTATAACTCGTTTACATTTACGTGCCCATATTTGCTATTTACTGCAAGCATAGCCCGCGGCAAGCCAAAAAAGTACATTTTTGAAAAATTTAAAAATATTAATTATTTTTCGAGATATATCGATTTTTTGAAAAAAAGGCGCTCTCGAAAATTGGCTAGATCTTCTCAGCGGATAGCCCTACAGTAACGATTTTCGGTTTATTTTCTTCGTAAAGAGTTATATTATCATGCTGTTAAAAAATGTTGACGATTTTATTAATTTTAAGGATCAAAAAATGACTTTGAAAAAGTTGCACTTTTTTGGGTATGTTTTTTTCAAATTACTATTTCAATTTTTATTTTATGAAAATGACTTTTAAAGAAAGAAAACTAAACATTTACGGGTCTATTTTGCTTCTAAGGCGAAAATGCTATAATATTCGTGTTTAGCTACCCCAGATTAAGTACAAAAAAATAATAAAAATTGAAATAGTTATTTGAAAAAAACATACCCAAAAAAAGTGCAACTTTTTCAGTCATTTTTTGATCCTTAAAATTAATAAAATCGTCAACATTTTTTAACAGCATGATAATATAACTCTTTACGAAGAAAATAAACCGAAAATCGTTACTGTAGGGCTATCCGCTGAGAAGATCTAGCCAATTTTCGAGAGCGCCTTTTTTTCAAAAAATCGATATATCTCGAAAAATAATTAATATTTTTAAATTTTTCAAAAATGTACTTTTTTGGCTTGCCGCGGGCTATGCTTGCAGTAAATAGCAAATATGGGCATGTAAATGTAAACGAGTTATAGAAGAAGAGAAAAGAGAAGATTTTTAACGGTTTTTTCGATATATCTCGAAAAGTAACAAAGCAATAGATACTTTCAAATAATCAGTCGATTGATCTTTTTAATACCTACAACTTTCTCATTTAAAATTTTTCAATCCGTGCTATATTTTTTTAGTTATTTTAGAAAAACCGTTTTTTTTAACCATGTTCGCCAACTTGGATCGAGTTTAAAGAATAAGAAACTCAATTTCAAATTTAATTTTCTATACGGTCATATTTTTTTTGTCCAGGTAATAATTTCTGCAAATTTAACATTAATCCGTGATAGAATGCTTGGACTATAAAGTAGTTCATTCAATTTTACGGAATCTTTCCTAATTTTTAAGTGTATTTGTTTACTGAATTAAATTTTGGCACGTAAAAAATTATTTGATTGCACTAAGTTCTAGACTTTACAAGAAATATCAATAAATGTAATCCCAGTCTCCTTGTAATTCGATCTTCATTCGTTTTAGACGTACCCGGAATGGATAGACCAGAAGAACATCATGCTGTCCTCTTTCTTCTGGGGGTACGTCTGTTTCCAGATCGGCGCCGGACAACTGGCCAAAAATTACGGACCCAAGCTGTTCATGGGCGGCGCCGTGTTTATATGTTCCCTGTTCACCGTCCTCGTACCACTGATGGGAGACAAACTTGGTTACGGCGGAGTGATAGCTTGCAGGGTGATCCAGGGGCTGGCGCAGGGGTTTCTGTTCCCCTGCACACATAACCTGCTCAGCGCCTGGGTGCCTATATTCGACAGAGCCAGGGTTGGCAGTTTCGTGTATACAGGTCGGTAAATATAAATATTGACATTGATAAAAAATAGTAGTCTAATTCGTGAAATATTTGGCGCGATAGTCGAAAGTCGACTTGGATGCTTTTCTCGACTAAATTTTTTTTTCTACAACTAGGTGGTCCGCTTGGAACTGTCATAGCCTTGCCTGTAACAGGGGCAATTTCCGCATCCTCGGTGGGATGGCCGTTGATGTTTTACCTCTACGGAGGCCTAGGGTTAGCCTGGACAGTTGCTTGGATATTTCTAGGAGCAGACTGCCCAGCGAAACATGGCAGGATATCTGCGGAAGAAAGGAGGTACGTGGAGGACGGAGCTAGCACAGAAGAAAAAGAGGTAAAGCTCGTTTTGCCAAAACAAGTATTTGATTTTCCTAAACTGGTATTTCTTAGACTGTGCCTACACCGTGGAAGGCTATCTTCACTTCACTGCCATTCTTTGCGATATTAGTAGGGCACTGTGGTAACAACTGGGGTTTCTTCACTTTACTCACTGAGATACCAAGCTATATGGAGAGCATTTTGAAATTTAATATAGCTTCGGTGAGTCTACTAAATAATAGGTAAATAAATATTGATGTATCGTTGGTTTATAGAACAGTCTTCTATCCGCTCTTCCTTATTTGGTTCTGTGGCTGCTTAGTTTCGTAATGAGTCCCCTTGCCGATATCCTCGTGGTTAGAAAGATCATTACCAGGGGTACTAGCAGGAAAATCTTCAATTCCATAGGTGAGTTTGTTGGAATTTTATTTACGGTATATAGTACTGTCATTGAAGCTGAAAATCAGCTGTAACCTTGGAATTCTTTGAAACTACATGGATTTGTATGAACATTTAGAATAAGGCTCATCTTAGGCTCAAGTTCAAAAGTGACATAAGCCCGATTGACTTAGAGGTAAAAACTACCCCTAAGTGAAAAAAATTAAAAAAAATAAGTTTTAAGCATTTTATTGATAAAAATCTGGTTCAAGCACAAAGATTAAATAATGTTCCATGTACTCGAACATGTTTTATGATATATTTGATCTTTTCGACCCTTTATTTAACCCTTAAAAACTACCCATATGCAAAAAATAATGATAAGAAATTACTTTTTAAAGATTTGGAATGATTAAATCGTGCAATTATTTAAAATAAAATTTACCTTATAGCTAATAAAAGAATTTTTCCCTTTCAACCCCTAAAAACCACCCCTGTATTGACAAAAATGTTAAAAAATTACGTTTTAAAAGCTTGGAATGCTTTAACAGTGCAATTATTTAAAATAAAAATTCCTTTTCAACCCTATATAAATCACCCCTGTGCTAAAGAAATGATCAAAAATTAGGTTTTAAATCTTGGAATGCTATAATTGTGCAGTAATTTAAAATAAAAATTCCCTTATATTGTTTATGAAAGAATATTTTACTTTTACCATTTTCAACTCTTATAAACTATCCTTTTACCAATATTAATGTAAAATATTTTTATTGTAATCGATTTTTAAATATAATCATTCATAAAAAAAAATTTGTACGCTGCATATAAACTTTTATACACGCTGACGCGCACTTCCTAACATTTGCTCCAAAAATGAGAAAGCCTATTTTGCTTCGAAAAAATGTTATTGGTTTTTTTACCACAACTCGGTTAATTTTGAAGCTATAGTATCCTACAAAAAAGCATTTTAAAGATAAATTCAAAATCTGTAATATATATTTTAAGTCCTTGCTTTTTTGTAAAGGGAAAGGATCGAAGGGTTCGAGACAGGTCGTTTTTTTCACTAAAATGGATACTTCAAACGACGATGTCTCCTTTATTTTTATGCTATAGGAATTAAAAAAAGCAAAATATTTGTTGAAAAAAGCTACATTTTTGTAGTCTATCATTTTTCAGAGTTATTATATAAATAAGGCAATCTTTTTTGAATAATGAAAAATACCGTTTTCAACTTTTACCGTACATTATTCAAAAAATTCTAAACCGGTCTAACTTCAGGATCGTATGAAAAATACTAAAACAAAACTAATTGTAAAGGGTCTACGATTAATTTTAATTCTGATGGAAATGGTACAGCGTTTACTGCTTATTTTTCCTTAAAAAAGATGAGCAACAAATCTGTTTTTGACGATAAATTCTTCAATTTTGCTCTAATTAACTTTTATAAGTGCTCATTTTGAAGGTCTTTTTGAGTACTACAAAAAACTACAGGAGCGTTATACGCGTAAAATTAATCCTTTTTCCGTTATTTGACGTTGAATACATCGATTCGAGTATTCCTCCCAAGACAACTTTCCCCTTCCACTAACCATATTTCGCTTTGTATAGGACGTACAACACTTTATAAAAAACGATTTTCTTTGTTTATTTATATGCTACATTATTGTTCATTACACTTTTTTTAATAAAATGCGTAGTTTTTGAGTTATTCGCGAAAAATACTTGGAAAAAGTGTTGTTTTTTTCACTCAGTTTTCAATCGTGTATAACTAAAAAACTATTGATTTCTCGAAAAAATTCTCAGAATATTTTCTGCTCAGAATTTGATTCTCTATCGATTTCCAGCATTATTTTTGAACAAAAATTTCCACCCCCGATAAGGGGTGTCAACCCCCAACAGGGTGGAAGCGTCAATCGGCGGTATATCAGTAATGTTCATTGACCTTTTCTCTAACTACCTGCTAAATTTCAAGTCGATCGGTTCAGTTTCAAAGAATTCGGAGGTGAAAAGCTTCAATGACTGTACTAATACTTAATACATTTTTTTCACAATGAATCAAAGATTGCTATTGTTCTACATTCATATTGCCCCATAACTGACTGAATAAAATAAATATTTCCTTTGCAATACTTATACAGCATGTTCACCGACATAATTTTAATGGGCGTTAGCATACATCAAAATAATTGATTAAGGAATTTGACATAATACATACCACTCTTTCGAATGTTTTTTTGTTCACTTTTAATAAAACAACAAGTTTTGTTAAGCAGTAAAAGGTTATAAAGCTGATATCGCCCAATAAGACAACAGCCCCACAGAATGACAATGGCATGCTGTTGGCAGAACAATCAGTTGCTGTTTGACAGATTGACATACTTGTCACATATCGGCAGTGTCTTTGCATGCCACTAGTTCGTTGTTTTTCTCTTTGTTTTTTTTTTAATATTCAGTAGACGCGAGTATCACAACATGTTATTAATTTACGGTGAAGATTGCTGCAATAATTATACTATGACGGGACCTATTTATCACCATCGTTTTTCACAACAGAAACTGTTTAATAGAAAGACATTCGTTGAAGTATTTCAGTGTCTTTTTGATACTGGTAGTGTTGATCCTCGTACCGAAAATTATGGCCTTAACTCTCTTGGAGTCATCAGATGTAATATACTACTAGTTCTAGCGTACTAGAGCTACTGCAGTTTCCTCTATCTCAATTTGTTTCGTCTAGCAGCTACAGCGACAATTTTTTTTATCAATTCGATGCCCTTTAGCGGTTAAACGAAGCCACTTACTATAGAGATAAGTTTAGTTAAATATTGAACAGCCTATATTTGTGTCTTCAGGTCTGATGGTACCCGCTCTTGCTCTGTTCGTGCTAAACTTCATTGGCAGCGGCCAGAAAGAAGTCACGATCTTATTTTTGGTGATCGCTGTAGGATTCAACGCGGGGGTGTATTCCGGATACAACGTGAACCACATAGACATATCCCCTGTCCATTCTGGAACTCTTATGGGAATAACAAACACAGCGTCGAACATCTGCTCTATCATTGCCCCCTTAGCAGTTGACGCCATCAAGTCCATCACTGGATACGAAGAGGTAAGTTAGGAACGATAGGATATAGGTCGGTCAAGCTGAGAGTCCAGTAGGTACGCCGGATTGGACACTCCAGAATTTGATGGTGAAAGTTTAAGGTTACATATTAGAATTTTTCATACAATCTGAAGCGTAAGTATGTAGAATGACGCGGCATTCAAAAATCTTAATATTTTTATTTGTGATAGCAGTTGACACTCTTTATTCAAGTAGGTACTTGTTTTTTTTTTTTGTTTTTAATATGATGTGCGTCATTATCTCAATCTGTTATCAAACTTGACTAGCAACATCTTTTGTTTTATCATTAATTTCCATAACGTGATTTCGCGACGCACATCCAGTTTATGACGAATGTCTGTTACTTTCTTTTATTTTACTTTGATAACATCCTATACAGGATGACTGAAATAATTGCGAAAATAAACAATTTTCATTAAGCAAATAGCAAATTAATCAAGAATTATTGCGCGAAAGTTAGGCCGACTCTGTATCACCCCACTTAATCAACTGAAATACACTAACTAGGTCAAGTTCAGGGTGGTTATTTATCCATTAAACATAATCTTAAAATATTATCTATTAGTGATGTACATGCTTCAATAGTGATGTTCGTAATCATTTTTTAGACCAACAAATCCCTGTGGAATGTGGTATTCTCCCTGGCAGCCATAATAAACATAGTTACCGGGTCATTTTATGTATTTGGGGCATCTGGAGAGGTACAACCTTGGGACAACTTAGGGGTTGACAAAAAGGACGACACCGTCAATACCCGATCGAGCAAAGAGAAATAGAACACCGAAATGTTATTTCATAGTGTCAATTTTACTATTCGTTGCGAATAAAAATTACTGGATACTCAAAGAACAAGAACGTCAAAGAAGGATCGTTTTGTTTTTCTCAGATACTTATATCCATAGGTTCATCTTATCATAAATAGAATTATTACATATACAGGGTGTATCTTAAGTGATGACTTTGATTTCAAGGGGTGATTCCTTGTCATATTTTAAGCAAAAAAGTGCATATGAATATCGGTCCGCAAGTGCTTCGTTACCGAGATACAGGGTGTCAAAGTTGGGAAAATAAATCGCATTTTCTTAAATATCTTTCGACTGATTCGAAATAATTTAATGAAATTTCATACACGGGGGTTTTTTGGAATGACAAATTCAAAGCTGTGGTCAATTTAGGTGTATTTTTTTGAGGGCGCCAATAATGAAGTAGCTAGGAGCAACCGTTTCCATGAAAAACGCATTTAAACTTACTTGAGCTGGAAATATCATAAAAATTGAATTAAATCAAATGCTCAAAATGAGAACCGCCACTGTCAATACAAGCATGTAATCTTCTGCTCATCGACTGTCGCACACGTTCCAAAATTCCTGGAGTGTTGCGTATGACATTACAAGAATTTACAATTCTGTTTCTTAAATCATTTTCATCTACAACTGGCGTTGCATAAACAAGCGACTTCAGATGTCCCCAAAAGAAATAGTCCAGAGGATTTAGGTCTGGAGATCGTGCTGGCCACGGCTGAGGTCCTCCCCGACCTATCCATCGCTGAGCAAAAGTGTCATTAAGATGTTGGCGAGCAGCAAGACTGAAATGAGCAGGTGCCCCGTCGTGCATAAACCACATGTCATTTCTGGTTGCTAGTAGTACATCTTCTAACAGACCAGGCAATGTTTCAGCTAGAAACTGTCTGTAAGTCTCACCATTCAGTCGAGGAGGAAGAAAATGCGGTCCGATGACATGATCACCAATAACTCCGGCCCACACATTCACCGAAAACTGCTGCTGAAATCCACGTTCTCCAATAACATGGGGATTTTCATAGTTCCAAAAATGATTATTGTGGAAGTTTATGATGGCATCCCGTGAAAAAGTTGCCTCATCTGTGAACAGAATTTTAGACGTAAAGTTGGGATTCTGCGCAGTTTTTTGGAGAAACCATCGACAATAATCTAACCGTGCAGGAAAATCTCTTGGCAACAGTGGTTGCACGCGTTGAATGTGGTACGGATAAAGTAAATTTGTGTGCAAAACCCTCCAAACACTTTGATGACTTATGTTAAACTGTTCAGATAATCTTCGCGTACTACTTGACGGATTAGCTTCCACTTCTTGTAGGATTGCTTCTTCTAGTTGTGGTGTCATTATTGTTCTCGGTCTACCAATACGTTCAGCGTGAGCATTTAAAGATCCAGTTTCGCACAGTCTAGCATGGAGCCTTATGAAAGTTCTTTCTGATGGAAGTGGTCTATTGGGAAATCGTTCCTGGTAAATTCGACGGGCTTGTGCAGCATTTCCATCTGCTAGCCCATAAATGAAATGTATTTGAGCTTGTTCAACGTTATTCATAGTTAACTGCACACTAAAAGATAGTCAACTGACAGTATCTTGTCACTTTTAATGCCAAATATCATCGGAATTTTGTTATCACAGGAATTTTTGTATTCAACAAAAAAACATTTCTTTAAAATCTTTTTTAAGCAGATAAGGTAGGAGAATCGATTATTCTAGTCCAAAATGGCATACAGGGTAGCAGAAAAAAGTTGCGATGGATTAAAGAGGCCGAAATCGTTGCCGGTGGCGCCCTCAAAAAAATACACCTAAATTGACCACAGCTTTGAATTTGTCATTCCAAAAAACCCCCGTGTATGAAATTTCATTAAATTATTTCGAATCAGTCGAAAGATATTTAAGAAAATGCGATTTATTTTCCCAACTTTGACACCCTGTATCTCGGTAACGAAGCACTTGCGGACCGATGTTCATATGCACTTTTTTGCTTAAAATATGACAAGGAATCACCCCTTGAAATTAAAGTCATCACTTAAGATACACCCTGTATATCATTACTTAGTGTATTACTAGTAATATAATAGAATCTAGAGTGCTTAGTAAAGATTTTCATATATTTAAGCCTCATAATCAGAATTAAAACAGTCTTAAAAGTCATAAATCTCAGTTAGAAAGGTTGATTCTTCTTGAAACACATTTCTACTATTTTTTTGTGATAAATATATGTATAATATAGTGCATAAATTGTTTGTCCTTCATAAAATTCCAAAATAAATGTTGTTTTATGGTACAGTCAGTAATAAAATTTTAACCTTCTCAAAAGTAATAACTTTGTGTTCATATTTTTTTGAAAAACACATTTTTGTCTAGTATTTTGTATCTATTAAAATAAGGTAATAAGTAATGTATGCGGACGTTTCATTGAATAATTATTTGTAAAACAAAAATACTAATCAGTAATTTTTTGTACTACTTTTTGTTTATTATTAATTTAACTAAGTGTTTTGACTTATACCTCAAATTAGACAATTAAATTCTTACAAAACGTGTTATCTATGATTTTTCCTGCATGTAATGACAATGACGTACATTCATTTTGTAATCATTATTTAATAGCATTTTTTATATAGTGATAACAATAATACACAGGTACATTATGCAACAAAATTATCGCAACAAAATTTTGCCATTTCTTTTAATGTGCATAGCAATTTTCAACGTATCAAGACGATTTTTTTTTAATTTGTAGGTAATTATCTGATGTAATTTAAGTAAAAATGCGAAATGGATGCGAATCGATACCGCGTCTTCATGTCCTGATAAAACCCAAGCATTATTTTTCAAAAATTGGTGATTAAAATACTAAATTTGTTTAACCCAGAATTCCAGGAACAAAATCTTTAAAAAATATATGTTTTTGTATTTGTAACAGATGAACTAATACTGTTACAGGAATTGGCGTATCCAAAGGGGTGCAGAAGAGTCCACAACCCCACTTTTTTCAGATAAGTGAATGTCAAAAGGCAGTATGAATGTTTTCTAAGCAAAATTTCCGTATTCTTGAACCAAATGTTTTTTTTTTCAAAATTCAAGTTTACAATAAAAGCATACGTGGCTCAAAGATAGTGGTAAGTATGCTGTGGAGAATTATGTTTATTTGCACTTTTCTAGTAAACAAAAGTTTAAAGTCAATATTCTGAATTCAATATATTCATATTTTAGTGTAGGTAAATTTGTGTCAACTTGTTGAGTTGACGTAATCTTTTCTTTTATCGGTACTGCACAAATCGTCGTACTCCAAAAGATCAAGGAATATGTGCAGATTAGATAATAACCCTAGTCATTTTCAGTCGAGATTTCTTCGAATAAAACTGGTATTCAATCGAGGATTACCTCAGTTGTTAGCTTTTCGTTGTAGCTAACGCCTCGCAAAAAGTACCTGTCATATCTTCTTGACTACCCTAATTACCTTTTGATATTATATATTCTTGATACTGAAGAATTCGAGTAAAAATTATGGACCGAAAAGAGTTATCGGAAAAACCATCTAACACTCCACCAAAACCAGGTAAGTAAGGATTAATATTTTATGACATACAAATTTTAAGAAAATAAAAAATGTTGCTATACTTAAAGTCGCAAACATATCAGCTACAATTGAAAAAATATAATAAAAAATGCTTTGTTCTAAATCGGAATTGGTTATCATTTATAAGATCTGATACACCAATAAAAACATATGAAAATGATTGATAACTTCGACACTTTAGCACCAATTATTAATTATTCTAATGATAAACATTTCAGTCACATGATCCACCCGATGATCTTAAAATACGTTGTTGTTGTTAAAGTTATTAATGCAAGAATTAGAAATGCATCAAAAGTTAATAAGTAGCAATTCATATTGAGTATTGTAAAACAATTTTTTAAAGTTGATTATTTATGACGAAACTCCCTAGACCAGACGGATCAGTTGGAACGAACACACACTGATTTTTTCACAATTTTTTTCAGCCGGGTGGTTTGGTGTACGTCATGAACAATACATTCTGCTTTTTGTGGCGACCGTTATAGCTTACGGAATTCGGACTACCTTCAACGTAGCTGTCATGGCCATGATCAGCAAAGAACCGCCCACTGATGATATACCAGTGAGTAAACTTCTACCATAAAAGCTTGCAACTAATTTTCAAGTGATATACGTTTCCAATTTTCAGACATATCCGGAATGGACGGACAAGAAGAACATCATGCTGTCCTCTTTCTTTTGGGGTTACGTCTGTTTCCAGATCGGTGCCGGACAACTGGCAAAAAATTACGGACCCAAGCTCTTCCTTGGCTCCGCCATCTTCATATGCTCCTTGGCCACCATCCTCTTGCCGATAATGGGGGAGAAGTTGGGGTACGGAGGGGTCATAGCCTGCAGGGTTGTTCAAGGTATGACCCAGGGGTTCCTCTTCCCTTCTGTGCACAATTTGCTAAGCGCCTGGGTACCCATTGTTGACAGAGCAGTCATTGGGAGTTTCGTGTATGCAGGTAAGTCAAGAAAAATAAAAAAGTTAACCTCTCATATGTAACTATACCTCTGCTTAAAATGCCAATCTGTAGAGATCTTTAATCTAACATTTGTTGTAGCTGGTCCTTTGGGTAATGTAGTGGCTATGCCCATAACTGGAGCAATATCTGCCTCTACTGTCGGATGGCCCATAACGTTTTACTTATATGGTGGTCTTGGTATGACCTGGATCATTTTCTGGATAATTTTTGGATCAGATGGCCCATCAAAGCATAAAAGAATATCCCGAGAAGAAAGGAGATATGTGGAAGATGGAGCCAGTACTGAAGAAAAAGAGGTAAAACATTTGTTTAATAAATACGCAGTTCGATTGTCCACTAGACATCAACTGATATTTCAGACTTAGCATCAAGAGTTCTGGTTAATCTGTAATTATTTTCAGGTCGTACCAACACCTTGGTTGTCCATTGCCACCTCTTTACCGTTCTTCGCTATACTGATAGCCCATTGTGGACAAAACTGGGGCTTCTGGACTTTGCTCACGGAAATACCAAGTTATATGGAGAACATTCTGAAATTCAAAATAGCTTCGGTAAGTCACCATTTTTTCACGGTCGATCAAAGATAATCGTGATTTATATTTTCGCAGAATAGTTACCTGTCTGCCCTTCCTTACTTTGTTCTCTGGCTGCTTAGTTTCGTCATGAGTCCTATAGCCGATAGACTGATAATAAAGCAAGTGGTGAGCAGAGGTACCAGCAGGAAAATTTTCAATTCTATAGGTAAGTCTGACGATATTTATTAGGTTAGGTTAGGAGTCTTGTGCTTCTATAAAATGATCTTTGTAGGTTTGATGGTGCCAGCGGTGGCTCTTTTCGCCCTCAATTTTGTGGGTAGCTCCCAGAAGGAAGTCACGATCGTTATCCTGGTGATTGCTGTTGGCTTCAACGCCGGTGTGTTTTCTGGTTTCAATGTGAACCACATAGACATATCCCCGATCCATTCCGGGACCCTCATGGGGATCACGAACAGTTTGTCCAACGTTTTCTCCATCATAGCCCCCTTGGCTGTGGACGCTGTTAAATCCATTACGGGCTATGAAGAGGTAAGTTACGAATATCAGTTTGATTTTATTAAACTACCGTTTTTGTTGACTGTAATCGAAATCGAATCTAGATAAGTACACAAATGAGATGAAGTTGAAGTGGTTGTTTAAGTTTTATTTGTTGGAATAAATATTTAGGATTTACGTCACCTCATTTATGGTTATCTTGCTTTTACATTTTCATAATTACTTAGGTTACTTGAGTGTGGATGAATATCTATATTCTTTCCTTTTCAGACCGACAAATCTATGTGGAACATAGTTTTCTCCATAGCGGCCATAATCTACGTCCTTACCGGTACATTCTACGCGTTCTTTGCGTCGGGTGAAGTACAGCCTTGGGACAACTTGGAACTTAGTAAAAAAAGCCCTGTTGGGCTCAGCAAAGAACAACTGGAGAAGAAATATGATAGCGTCTAGAACAAACACAAATACTGGAGACACTGAAGAATGACTTAATTATTTATATTTTTATTATTAGACGTATTTAATGATAACACTTTTAACACTGAACCTTCAAGTACAAATTTGAATGTATGAAAACAATTATTTCTTGGAATTGTAATGTAAATATTTCTCACACATTTTAAACTTTTAATGAAATTCGTATACATTTTCGATCGAGAGAAGTCAGTTATTGCCAAATATTTGAACATAGCGAAAGGAGTGTTTCAAAACCACTGTTTTAAGTGGGGCACAAATGAGAAAATGAAGAATATAATATTTTTGTTTGTTTGTTTTCCCCAACTCAACAATTTTGTGATATATCTGATATTGTATAATTTTTTATAAATAAATAAAAAAATCTTGTAGTAAAAATTAAGTTCGTTTTCTTCAATTTTACGTCTAGACTAGAGTATTGGAGTTGTCTAAATTTCACATTAGAAAGAACAAAAAATAAACGGGTTGTTAGTCGAATATACCTTTTTAGCAACAGTAGAAATAAACCGTAAGATTTTACATAACGTGCCTTTTTGTTAACAAGTTTATTTTTCGGTCTATTAAAAATTGTGACATGAAAAAGGCGTTATCCAGTAAAAATTTAGGGCGTTTTTAATAGAGCACAGGCAATTGTTATTATTTCAGGTACCAATAAAACCATATTATAAAGTAAATCATTAAAAGTCATATTAGTATCTGCATATTTCACTAAAATATCTTTACTATATTAGAAAGTATTATTAATAAAATATCTCAAGTCGCGGATGAATGTCAACATTCGTCCAGCCTATACAAATTTAAACAGAAAATACTTTATAGAGGGTGGTCCTCAATTGACTTACGGACTTTAAAAAATAAGGGATTTACACCAAATTTTTCCGATAATGGATAACAGAGAAAGCCCCTTTAAAGGGTGAGTAATATATCTTATATCTTTTAGCGATATATTGGAAGTCCTGTTAGATATCTTATTTATAGTTTAAACTTAGATTTGGGGCAACTGAACACGACTTTATTGAATATTATTCAAATTCTATGCTTTGCGTAAGTAGTCCAAGCATTATAGAGATATGCTTACAGAAATTATTACCTGAACAAAAAAATATGACCGTATAGAAAATTAAATTTTAAATTGAGTTTCTTGTTCTTTAAACTCGATGCAATATGGCGAACATGGTTAAAAAAATCGCAAAGTTGAAAAAAACGGTTTTTCTAAAATAACTAAAAAAATATAGCACGGATTGAAAAATTTTAAATGAGCAAGTTGTAGGTTTTAAAAAGATCTATCGACAGATTTTTTGAAAGTATCGATTGCTTTGTTACTTTTCGAGATATATCGAAAAAACCATTAAAAATCTTCTCTTTTCTCTTCTTCTATAACTCGTTTACATTTACGTGCCCATATTTGCTATTTACTGCAAGCATAGCCCGCGGCAAGCCAAAAAAGTACATTTTTGAAAAATTTTAAAATATTAATTATTTTTCGAGATATATCGATTTTTTGAAAAAAAGGCGCTCTCGAAAATTGGCTAGATCTTCTCAGCGGATAGCCCTACAGTAACGATTTTCGGTTTATTTTCTTCGTAAAGAGTTATATTATCATGCTGTTAAAAAATGTTGACGATTTTATTAATTTTAAGGATCAAAAAATGACTTAAAAAGTTGCACTTTTTTTGGGTATGTTTTTTTCAAATAACTATTTCAATTTTTATTATTTTTTTGTACTTAATCTGGGGTAGCTAAACACGAATATTATAGCATTTTCGCCTTAGAAGCAAAATAGACCCGTAAATGTTTAGTTTTCTTTCTTTAAAAGTCATTTTCATAAAATAAAAATTGAAATAGTAATTTGAAAAAAACATACCCAAAAAAGTGCAACTTTTTCAAAGTCATTTTTTGATCCTTAAAATTAATAAAATCGTCAACATTTTTTAACAGCATGATAATATAACTCTTTACGAAGAAAATAAACCGAAAATCGTTACTGTAGGGCTATCCGCTGAGAAGATCTAGCCAATTTTCGAGAGCGCCTTTTTTTCAAAAAATCGATATATCTCGAAAAATAATTAATATTTTTAAATTTTTCAAAAATGTACTTTTTTGGCTTGCCGCGGGCTATGCTTGCAGTAAATAGCAAATATGGGCACGTAAATGTAAACGAGTTATAGAAGAAGAGAAAAGAGAAGATTTTTAACGGTTTTTTCGATATATCTCGAAAAGTAACAAAGCAATCGATACTTTCAAAAAATCAGTCGATAGATCTTTTTAAAACCTACAACTTTCTCATTTAAAATTTTTCAATCCGTGCTATATTTTTTTAGTTATTTTAGAAAAACAGTTTTTTTCAACTTTGCGATTTTTTTTAACCATGTTCGCCATATTGGATCGAGTTTAAAGAACAAGAAACTCAATTTAAAATTTAATTTTCTATACGGTCATATTTTTTTTGTCCAGGTAATAATTTCTGCAAATTTAACATTAATCCGTGACAGAATGCTTGGACTAAAGGGGTGGTTTTAGGAGGTGACTGACTATTCCCAAACTTTGTTATTTTTTACCCCATCTTAGTGTGATAAAATACAGTTTTCGAGAGGTTCAGGTTCATATGAGAGTGTTTGTGTTTTGAAATGTCATAAATTTTGAACAATTTCTAGTCTCGTGTGAAGGATAGGTGATGTGTTAATTCATACAACCTGCAGCAGGAGTATGTAGAATTACGCGACACTTAAAAAATCTAGCAATAAACCTTTTTAGTAGTGACGTCACATATGCCAAATAATAGGCCATAGTACAATTATGAAGAATTTCTCAATATTTTTACCAGATCGGTTTTCGACCTTATGTACTTTGCACATAAGTGGCCAAAATGACTTCTTTGTCATCACCTTAAATATCGCAATATTCTGGCAATATTACAAATATTTAAGAAGTTTCAAACCCCAAGTGACAAACTAAAAGAATTACAGAATTTATATATTTCAATCACAGCACCAAGAAAAAAAAAATACTTGGTAGAACTAGAAAATGCCAAGATTAAACAAAACAAGAGAAAATACGCTAAAAGACGACATCGACGTATGAGGCTATCCCTTCCGAGCATGCGCATTAGAAACAACACAACACATTTTTACTTTATTTAAATTTAGGAATCTTTTATATCGTTTTTTGTAAGTTTTAAGCACATTAGTGTGTAACTATTTTACGAAACACGTGTTGATTGTTCTTAAATACTTCTAAATCCTTGTAAAAATAAATTAATTTGAAGTTGTTAATTTTTATAGTATCTATGTAAATAATACACAAGAGTCGGATTCGATCTGTACAATTTGTTGCAGGTTGCCTAAATATGTGACGTCATACTAAAAGGGTCTATTGACACTGCTCGTTGAAGTAGGTATTTTCTGAAGATGCTTTCTTTGTTTTTAATATGGTGATGTGCGCCATTATCTTTATCTGTTATCAAACATGGTTTCACCAGACATATCCAGTTTATGACGAATGTCTGTTACTTTAATTTTTTAACATGTTGTACAGGGTGTTTCTGAAATTAGTGCGAAAATAAACAATTTTCATTAAGCAACTTGTGGTCTAAAGCGTCATGTGTTCCAGGAAAGGAATCAGAAATTATTGCGCGAAAGTTAGGTTGACCCTGTGCCACCCCACTTAATCAAATGATCAACTGTTTATAATGCAATAAGTAAGTCAAGTTCCGGGTGGTTATTTATCAATTAAACGTATCTTAAGATGTTATCTATTAGTGATGTACATGCTTTAATAGTGATGCTAGCAGTTATCATAAACATAGTTATCGAGTCATTTTATGTATTTGGGGCATCTGGAGAGGTATATACAACCTTGGGACAACTTGGGGGTTGATAAAAAGAACGACGCCGTCAATACCCGATGGAGCAAAGAGAAATAGAACACTATGTTATTTCATAGTGTCAACTTTAATATTTATTGCGAATAAAAAATTACTAGATACCCAAAGAAGATGAACGTCATAAAAGGAACGTTTTGTTTCCTTAGAAAAGTTAATTTTTCTTAAAAAACATTTCTACTACCAATTTTTTTTGTGAAAAATGTATTAATGTTTATAAGTATATTGTGCATAAATTGTATGTCCATTAGGTTGGCTAAAAAAAATGAATATTTTTTTTCGTGTTTCTTGTGAAAATATGTTAATCATGTTTTAAGAGCACCCTCAAAAAATCAGCTCAAAAAATTTTTAGAGGTCGCTCAAGATTTTAAAAAAATTCCAAAATCATCAAAAATTGAAATTTAAAAAAAAATTTTTTCTTGTTATTTTATTATTTTCTAGGTTAAAAAAAATCTTCATTCTGAAAATTTCAAATCGATATTTTAATTTCTAAAGGTCACTCACAATTATTTTAACTTTCAAAGTACTGTACCTATGTTTTCGAGCGACCTCTAAAAATAAATATCAACGAACTATTAATTCTTGTTTATTGAATTTGATGAACAAAAGAATAGAAATAAATCACGAGGCACTTAGATTTTAAAAAATTAAAAAATTATAAATATTTGATATTCACAGTGCGGTAGTAAATTTTGCCTCGAGAAATTTTTTAAGTGTCTCGTGATTTATTTCTATTCTTTTGTTCATCAAATTCAATCAAAAAAGGTATTAGTTCGTTGATATTTATTTTTAGAGGTCGCTCCAAAACATTTTAGGTACTTACTTACTTTTAAAGTTAAAATAATTATTAGTTACCTTTAGAAATTAAAATATCGATTTGAAATTTTCAGAATCGAGATTTTTTTCAACCCAGAAAATGATAAAATAACGAGAAAAAAATTTAAAAAAAAAATTAAATTTTTGACGATTTTGGAAATTTTTAAAAATCTTGAGCGACTTCTAAAAAAATTTTTTTGAGCTGATTTTTTGAGGGGGCTCTTAAAACATGATAAACTAACATATTTTCACAAGAGACACGAAAAAAAAATAATCGTTTTTTTGGGCCACCTTAATGTCCATTATATAAAATTTCAAAATAAATGTTGTTGTTTAGTAAGTCCGACATGTTTAATATATAAAACAAAAACTAGTTTCAACAGGGTGTATTCGAAATAAGTTTCAACTTCATCAAAAGTAATAAATTTTTGTCCATATTTTTTGAAAAATTTTGTATCTATTAAAATAAGGTAAAAAGTATTGTATGCGGACGATTCATGGAATAATTATTACCTTCAGATTTTCTGTAAGACTAAATACTAATTCGTTGACAATTTTTTGTATTCCTTTTTGTTTATTTTTAACTTAACTAAGTATTTTGACGCATGCTTCAATGAAATAATGTCTGAAATACCCTGTCTATCGATAAGCGTTTGGTAGTTTTTAACTACTCGTCGACGATA